ACTACTTCCCAGTTGCCGAAATATGCGGTATTTCGGAGAGTTTCTACACGAAAATACATTTCTGTCACTTATGAAAAAAAATTCGATTTGCTGTCTACATGCGCCACATCTGTGAACGGCATCCATATTGATAATAGCTTAATCGGGCTAGCCTGGGTTAGAAAAGGGGATCCACTCGACTGGCCTGGGCACGTCCGTTGCCTCCTTAGCCTACCATCATAGCGATATACATTGTATACAATATCTGTATAGCCTCACTGCAAGACATCTAAGTTGAGTTCAATATAATTATGCTAGGGTAGATTATGAAAGCACATGACTAACCCACAAAACCTACGTGGGTGTTATTTACGATAGAGCATACTGTTGGGCTGTTATTCATTCAACTGAGTTCAACGAATTCTGGTGTTAATTTACGCTTACTAGATGTCCGGTGACTCAATGTTTCGGTTCGACGTTAATAACTTGTACAATGCAACCTGTAGCAGTATGAATACAATGATGTATACAATAATGTGCTTGATAAACAGCAATCTATCTGACGGCAAAATGTAGATCTGACCTTTTGTGCCTCGTACGGATAGATGCATGTCTAAATTTAGGAGACCGAATGCATCGCGGAGCAGCGTAGTCAATCGCGATCACCCCCCACTCTACGAATCTTAAAAGTTTAGCGATTCCCCACTGTTCGAAAAATGTACAGCTTCTGAGTATGTCGTAAACTTTTCACCATGGTGTGATAGACTTAGAAAAGACCTTGATAGCCACCCCCGGAAGACAAATAGTCTAACAGATTTTACCAAGTTCGTCTGCTTATAATCACATGCTCTCACCTCTACTTAATAGATATTTGGAGTTCTGCGTACGGTACCGCCGTTAGGTGTTCTAACAGACGGTCCCATCTCTGCTTGGTCAGCGTGGACGGTTCAATGATAGTTACCAGTCTATATATCGACACATGCAGATTTATCTGATTCGAAACAGAACTGGCCAACGACGACTAAAGCCAGCAGTAAAATTTTATGTCACTATTTCAGTAACCGCTTAACTTGACGTTACACCTGGCTATCGTCATTTTTTACGCTGGCGTCAAGAGACAGCGATGAATAGAATCTGATTTTTGCCAATTTTATTCCTGCTTAAAGGCCTTAAAGGATGAACTTTGGGGACACGTTATAGTCTAGATAGTTCACTTCATCCTGGGAGCCAGACAACTGCCTGTCTAATGGAACTCTATGTCTAACGGTGACATCGAACGTAAAATTCGAAATATAAAAGCCTTAAAACACATCGGAAAAAAGGAGGCTCACCATCTAGATATATAGATACGAAATATTTCTTTATTTAATTGAAAATGTTGTGTAGCATGTGTCGATAAGGGTAACAGGAAATCTGTGTATGAGTGAAAATATATTGCAGCCTCTGAGGTGTCGGCGAAAAAAATATTTGCACCCTATAGTAGCTAGTAAGTGTCCTTAAACAATATACGGGGATATACATATATTAAAGCCATATTTATTAAGTTTTAGCGTAAAAATTACTATCCAGACCCATGTGACACATTAATAAAGCGCAGCTGAACATCAAGAAATAGTGGACTTGTGCGAAATTTAACTTTGTTTCGATTTAACAAGTTGGACGATACATTCATCATCAAATATATCTTAATGTACGTACTCACCCCAGTTAGCGTTGTTTCGAGGTTAGAGATCTATGGTCATACTTTCGTCAACTTGCCTACCGTTTAGATTGTATATGCAAATTAAACCAGAGATAGTTGCAGAGGAAATTCGCAAACCCGTAGAAAGCCTGTGGCAACCATATCGATGACGTTACAGACCAAACTGGAGAAACTAGATTGCTCGAACGCTACTCTAAAGCCGAAATCGAAAATGCGCATATGTTTATCATTCAAAATTCTGGAGAGGAAAAATCATTTCACTACCTGTCCAAGCGGCGTACACCTATTATCAAATGCTTTTCAAGTAAACACTGCAGACCACTATCGACTCAACCTACTTCTCGAATATCTTTGGACAGTTAAACGTTAAGTATCGAGTGAAAGTTTTTCATGCTATAGACTAATGAATTGTATAGTATTTGTAAGTTTCGAGAAGCCAAGTGTAATAAATAGCTTGCAAACTATGTGAATGGTTGGAATTCCATTTTTCAAAGAAGTTGCGTACATAACAAACCAGATAGGCTAGTTATGGAGCAGCTTCCGCTCGACGGTGCGTTCAGCGCGTCGTCATTGTTGTTGCTGGAAGGAATGGGTAAATAAGCAGAGGGGCACGAGGTGTTTCCTATGTTGCTATTAAACTTTTATTTAAAACAAGTGGAATTCAACTTGCTTGCAAGTTTCGATACCTTTGTAATTCTTAAAAAAATTATCATTTACCTATTGCTGTTTCATCGAATTTACTGACAGTTATATCGACTTCGTTAATGTGGCGGCAATTTCATATTCAGAAATCACATTTAGTCTCAAACTCAACGAGACCCCTTTTCCAAATACCACATGAAAGTAGATACATGTATGCACGTAACTTCAATAATGGCTGTAGACAGGTTTTGTCATTGTCATAGTCATAAGAATCAAAGTGATCGTTCTTGCTAATGGATCCTTTTTGTGATTGTGTTTGTCGATGTCCGCGATGTATCTTGGTACGCGCTTCATTTTACAGAAGAAACCCATTCACCGCCTTCATATACGAACCTCATCGGAATCGCTACCATCGTTACTTCGGCAAGTGGCAGCTGGCTCTCGTCGGCCATAACGGCGGAGGCAACAGCAGTAAAAATAGCACACCGTTTAATACACATACTTCACTCCCCTGTTTAACTGTCTTCGTTTTCTTCTTTTTTTCGAACTAGAAAAAGCTTGATTGCCGCCAACTGTGTGACCAGGCATGTGATGATGGCGGTAGGCATAAACGCACAACAAGGGAATTGTGAGAACTTTAAGCTACAGGAACAACAGCAACAGTTGCAACGGTAAAAGCAGTCAAAAGCCGTTCCGTTGTTATACTAAATGTCCGTTGAGATAACAGTAGTCCACTTATTTATCATGTTTTCTATCTTAAAATTCGAGGTATCTAGAATCGATAGCAGCTCAGCATATCGATATAACAGTTCATAACGTAAGCCTTAATGTGCTATGGTGAGCGGTGGATAACTATTTTTTAGAAAAACGGATCAACTCGGAAATGATTCGTCGATGGCCGCGACGTGTCTTGCATCAACTATAACAGCCACAGCGGCAGCTACGGTGACAACTGGCGATGAAAAAACAACGGCGTAAACTAACAATCAACGAATAGTTTCCCTAATGTAAAACACATCGGCTCAAGTAAGCACTCTCGCTGCTTCACAGCGATCGGTTACTAAAAGGTCGTCTTGTGGGTACTATTGCGAAGCGCTTTTGTTGTCGTCGTCTCTGCAACAAAGAAGGGCAAGACAGTCGTCTCCCCGCATCGGTGCTGCCGTCACCGAACGCATTAGCGTCCCCGACATTCACTGGCCGGGTCTCTCGCTCCCCCGATATTGCTGCTGCGTGCGTTTGACAGACGTATCAACTGGGACGCTAAAATACTCAGCTATACAGAAACACACGTCCACATACGCACACATAAGCGAACTGACCGGCCGGCACAATATTGTGGGCTGGGTGATTTAATAAGGATAGCTGAACAGCGATACCAACAGCAGTGGCGGCAGCAGTGGGAAGAAAGGGCGTGCAGACAGTCGAAGGCACGGAAGAAAAAGCAAGTACAAGCCCAAAAAGAAGGGAACTACCGTTGAAAAAACGAAATAGTTCAGAGGCGATCCTTAGTGACAAACAATTTAAGTGGCCGCCAAACAATCGAGATAAATACAAAGAAGAAAGAAAACAAGAGGAACTTTTACAAACGACGGAAGATGTGATGGGATTGGTTTGTAGGAAGCCGCAATAAGGGGCAAAACGAGTATCGGCGACGAAGTTCAGACAAAGAGGAAGAAAGGCCTCTATCATCAAAGGATGTATAATAGTCGCCCTTTTTTCCTCATTTATTCTTTCTTCATTCTTATTTTTGCATGGCTACAAAATCAGTGGTGAAGTAATCGAGGTAACAACAGAAGTATCATCATAGACCCATCAGCGCCATCGATATTATTGTACTACTCACTGCGATTTCCAGTTGTTGCCGCAGTAAATTCAGTCGTCAACCCCAGCGAGTTGGAAAGAAAATTAACTGGAGTCACGCATTCCGGAACAGTGTAAGGTATAGGTACGATAGTGGCGCCAGCTAGCGTAGTCAACATGAGTCTTCTACTCGTACGAAAGCAATGCAACAGCGGGGTGTCGCATTATTGGACGTGCACATAGAACACTGTGAACGACCAGAAAAAAAACATGAGGCGGTACGTATCTTACGTAAGACAACAATCAAAGCTTGTTTCACCCCTTAAATACTAACACATTATCGCTACAATTGCGTTTACCCGTTCCTGCAGCGCGTGCTGGTTGCAGCATTCCCCCATTAGACTGTCCACCCGTACGACAACAAGGTCTTTCTTGCCCCATAGGCTGGAGAAACATTAGAAGCATCAACATCACCATCGAAACATCGTGCATTACATCACTACTACCCGCGCCATTGTTGCCCTCAGAATCAGCCTCATCAGCAGCACTAGGATATGGTTACTTCTGGTGGCGCCTGAGGGGTGACAGAGGTTTTCGGCTCCGCGCAATTGAGTCAATGACTGATCGTGGAATGACAAACATCAAGCCATGAATCCTGTGACTGGCGTACACTTACTGATACAAAGAACAGGCAGCTGGGCGAAACCAACTCGACCTCTGCGTTAAAATTTTGTAACGCTTCTCTGCCCTCAGAAGATTGACAGCCCGACTTAATTGACTTTATGCAATATAGAAATTGGTGAAAACACAAGACTGTTTCGTCTTCCGACTAGCGCTCAGTAACAGCAATGTAGCAGCGATCGAATGAGCGGTCGCTTTGCCTCGCGACTGACCACCGGCTGACAAATCCGGCAAAAGGTGTTCGCTCGAAAGGGAAACCGAATAGGTCTATCGCTGCCGAAATTCAATGTGAAGCAAACTTCTTTGCTATTAGTTTTCGCTTCCGTTTTAGTGGCCTATTGCCAAGTTTTATTGTCGTGATTTTCTGGTTCGTGATGGCTACCGCCGCAACTGCCTGATCGTTGTCTATTGCAGATTCCTCTACGCGATCGAAGTGGGAGGAGAAGGGGACGAACAACGATTAAACGAGTGAGCGAACGAACAAACGATGAGGGAGGAAGTCACCGTGCGCAGGAGGAACATTGAGGACGAAAACAACATCGACGACTGCAATAGGGATGCAACAGCAGCAGCGGCGGCGGCGGTGCGAGAGCGTCGACGAAAACATCAATGGAGACAGGGAAAGGAAGCAGACAAGACAGGTGAGTGAGTAAAAATGACTCGAAAACCGCGCGCCATTCTTGAGGAAGCTAAGCCGCTCGAAGGTGGAGCGACGCACAATTTCGCTTTGTGCCGCAATCGTTGGAGACCCTTCCGGACAGCAAGACGATGTGCGGCCTGTGTTTTGCTAAGTATGTCATCAAGGAACCAACAACACCAATTATCATCATCTTGTTATCACCATCGGTATCATCATCAAGCGCTTAGTTCTTACGGCGGCCACAGTTGTGGCGACGCCGACAACTGTGCTTATAGCGCCAGTAACAGCGGCCACCGCGTCGCTGATTTCAGTGACCGCTCTCCTGGCAGCGGTGACAGTAGAGATAGACGCCAGTGTTCCTATTGGCCAGAGAGTCACAACAGCTCACACTGTCCCTATCCGGGCGAAAGAGGCGCTGCGACGGTGTCCCCTTGGCATATATCTCAACAGTGCTCCGATACCGTCTCAGTAATGGAACGCTCCGTTTCATCGCTTTATCCGACCCTTTATGGCCCTACGAGTGGTAGATCGACCTCTCGCAGATATTGGTCCCCCTTCAATAGAAACACTGCTGGGAATATGAGCCCACGCTATCAACGGGTTCACGATTTGATCGGTCCTCCGCCACCCTATACCCGATTTCCTTTGGCTACCTTCAACTCAAACTCTTCAAAGTTTATCCTTCCTGCTAACTCCGACACCCCCGAGCCCGCCGGGTCGGCCTCCGCTGTGTGGCACCATTCCTCTACTGACGCTGCGACTGCTACCTCTGAACGTCCCACTGTCAGCGGCGGTAGCCGCCCCACAAAAAGAACAATAAGTTCTATGCCTACAGGGACTACTATTGGGAAAAGCCAGTATTTTGACCGGGGAACGCATGCGCAGCCGAACTGCTGTTTAGCTGCCGGGCTTGCGCCGATACATAGCACCACCGATGCTCCTGCTCCTACCACAACTGGCGCTGGCGTTGTCGGAGACGGCGATGGCGACCCCAGCGCCTCTGGCGGCGCCGTCGCTGGAAAAGCATCAGCGGCGGCGACGGAGACAGCAGCAGCGATGTCTGTGGCTCCGGCGGTGGATGAAGAGCGTTCGTTTCAGTCGGCTGTGAGCGCCCGCAGTGTGCGCACTCCGTCGCCAGACTACAACAGCAGCTGTAATGACAGTCATTCTATCAATGATGCCCATGCTAACTGCAGTACTATAATAACAGTAACAACAACGGCGAGCGACGAGGCAGTGGCGCCTGCCAGCCGCACTGCTATCGGTCGTGACAAACAGCAAAAAAGAATCAATTCTTTGTTGTCGTCAGCTGCCGCAGTTCGTAGAGATGACCGTAACGAGATCAGAGGATATGGCCTGAGTCACACTTGTGCTGTAGCAGACGGGAAAGTGCAAACCGGAACAGACCACAGTTTATATTTCCGTGGAGATTACACTTGCAGCAGCAGTGAATGTATCGTTACTCGGCAGTGTGGGGGTGAGAGCGATTTAGTAAATGAATGTGATACAAATTCTGCGCGACGAATCCCGCGCCCGCGACTTCTTCATCCTACCAATGACAATGATGGTGATGACAATGCTGTTTCAGTTGCTATTGTCGATGACGTTGTCAGATCGTCTTCGGCCCCTGCGATTAGTCCAACGCGATCAGCGTCGACAGCAGCTCCTATTGATGGTCGAATCGATAGGGAGCCAGCGACTGGATGCGCGTTTGTGAGCGCCACAGTGAACCCAACTGCTAATTTTAGTGGTATTCTGCAACGTAGCATTTCGGAGCGTTCCGCGTCATCGTCCTCGTCGTCCAGCGTTTTAGTATCGACCCCTTTGTGTAGTGAGGATACTAGCAAACATCACATTCTAAATCATAATCGTCTAAGTATTCCCGATCACTTTGACCAAAGGGAGCGTTTCAGTGTAGAGGGTGACAGCGGCGGCGGCGATAGCAGCAGCGGCGTCAACGACAACAGAAGAAATAACAATAACCCACCTGTGGCAGCAGCAGCATCAGCGGTTGCCCTAGCGGGGGTTGTTCTCCCCGTGGCGGCGGCTGCCGCTGAGCATCGATCAGCTGTTTGCGCAAATGTCCCATCGCCACAGAAGCAGTCAGCTCCACGCGAGCACTGCCGCTGCTCTTCGATACCTCGTAGCATCCGTGAGTGCCAGCATGAGAAAAAAAGTTTAGAGTTAGAGCGGCATCGCCACTTATCGGAATGTTTCCCGGTGCCATACGTAAGTGCTAGTATTACTAGCACTTCTACAGAAATTGCTTCTAGTGGATTATCATTATTAAGCGAAAGAAAAAAGGTGCAAAAGTTGTCAAGTGATTCTGCGATCGTGAACCCCAATCAGAAGCAAAGTGCTTGTCCTTCTAGCAATGACGGTAGGAAAAATAGAAGAGGAAGGCTTAACATCTTTGGCCAGTTCTCGCCAGTGGATTCGTGTGGTGTCAATGAAGTAGTAACTGAACGCAGCCATGGTGGGCATAGTAATGCCATTCTGTGCAGCCATTCGATAACCGTCGCGGACAGCAGCAACAACGGGAGTGATTGCGGCGACCGCAGAAGCAGCGGTAAAAGCGTTGCGCTTCCGAATTGTGTTAGAATAGTGCCCCTGAGCGGTATAGTTGACCATGGTGCCGATCTGAAAAATTACGACGTTAGCTCTTGCAGTGACAGTTCTACTATTGCTACCGCTAGGGGTGCCCGACAAAGTGGTGGTAGAGACGTGCAAGCGAACTGTGGTATCGGATCTGCTCGTGCTGTTGTCGACAGCGACAAGTCGCTTGTGGCTTGTGGTGACGGAGCCGCTGGCCTCGCTGCCGTGGCCTCCGTCGGCCACCCCACAACGGCGCCAACCGTCGGAATCCCCTCAGGCGCCACCCCTAAGGGCAGCGGTGGCAGCTTTGGTGGAGGCGTACAGAACATCAGCAACTCCACCAGTAATAGCAGCAGCCTGCTGGGTCCTCGCCGACCAGCCCGGTCGGGGGGGCGCCGTGCTCTGTTGTCGCTATCGCTTGGAAGCGGAGGGGGCGGTAATCAACGTCGACGACGACAACAGCAACAATTGCAACACCAGAGATCGTCTGAATCAGACGACGAAGAGGGTGGATTTGTGTGCGTCCGAGAGATCCGAGAGGTTCTTTCGGCGCCTTCGTCGCACCACCATCAGCATCTCCTCCAACAGCAACGTAACAGTGACGTCCGGCTATCGCTTCAGGACTTCGACGACTTCCGACCCGATTTTCACCCTCAGCATAGTTACAACGACGAAACTGAAGAACAGCGGCCCGAGGAAGACGGCAACGCGTTCTTCGAACAGCCCGATGTTGTTCTCGCAACATCGCATGGCCAGCTAACGGTGGACGGCCTCCAACCGGGCGGATTCTATGAACCACAACAGCGTTACACCGAACATCTCAATCACGAACGGTCTCGACAGGCGCAGCCGTCATCGTCGTCTCAACAGAGACTCTCTCGAGATCGACACACCAGCGAGCGGGCCGTCGTACCAGTTATGGCGCGTCTCAACGCCAGCTGGTCGTCGGTGAACCGCCAGTGCCGGCGGCAGCATCGGCGCAACGCAAGATGCGATACCCAACGCTTACCGTCCGATGCGCAAGGCTGTTTGGAGGGCGCTTTGCCCCCATACAGCTCACCCCGTCACCGGAACGCCACGGCCGCAGGGCCGGGCTGTCCTGCACCGGGCTGTCCCGCACCGGGCCCGCCGTGTGCTCCATGTCCGTATCCACCGGGTGTAAGTGGTGTCGTTGCAGCACCGGCAGGACTGGCTTGTCCTCGTGCGGGCCGTTACGTTGAAGCTGTTGAGATCGAGACTCCGAAACATTGTTGCGCACTGCTCGTCAATCAGACAATCTCTATTCGGTGGTTCATCCTGATGATCGCCTTCGTCGGACTTTGTTGTTCGCTCGTTGGAACAGTTCTTGGTACATTTCGGATGGGACGAGAACATCTAACCATTTCGCTACTTATGATAGGTGAGTACAGGTATAGTAATGGCTATAGAAGCAGTAAGAAAAATGGGTCGTCTCTGGAGTGGAAATAATTAGTCAAAACTAGCACCGACCCAGGATCAGGGACCGAGTGTCGTGTGAGTTTGCTGGACGTTATAGCTGGCAAATGCTGACTCAAGTTTTGCACTACCTCGACAAATACGTCGATGTAAGGCTCGGTATTGGGAAACGAGATTTACTTACCAACTTCTTAAAAAACGTACTAGCTGCAGCGTTGCTTAACCAATGAAAATTATCTATACTTTTTTCAATGTAGATTTCTTGATCTGAAAGCTTTCTTGAAAGATTTCTTGATCTTGAGTTTGATACCGAGTGAACTATTGTCTGCTAGTTAATACGGCGTGCTACCCGAAACGAGGAAAACCGAAAGTATTATTATTGTGTATAACAATGATAATCGTACCCAAAAAAAATTAGCCAAGTGTCAGTTTCACCGAAACGAAAAATGTGTAATTTATGAGCTCATCCTTTTTTCACTGTAGGTTTATTTGTTAACGTCTTGCCTTTCCAGCTGGAGCCCTTAATGGGCATCTTTTTTGAGCACCCCGTGCATGTTGATATTGATACATTGAAATGTACCACATTAGATGTGGTCGCCAAGCGAATCATCTTGCCTATATTGCTCTTGCTTTTTGTTTGTGACTATACTCCCTGTATATATGGCTGCGATAGGTGGTGCAAAAGCGTAACGTCGGCACAAACCGGAGGTCTATTAGACCACAAAGCCTTAAACAAAAACCACAAAAGCTCATGGTGGTCAGTATCTCAGCTTGTCTAATTGCAGCCGTCCTCTGTGTGCGTCAGCTCGCCCCCTTCTTTTTTTCTTATCTCCGTTGAACACGTGCGACAACCGACAAAGATCAGGAAAACAAAATGATGACAGTGATCCAGTCACCAGAACAATGGTGCGGACATATCGGGGCGTTGTCTTTGATATTACGACGCGTTTGCAGGCGGTAGCAACGGCGGTAGCCCTATGCAACGGCGACTTTCATCCGTTGGATCTGTGACAGAACTGCTCCCTGCGGTTTGTGCGCGTACAATATTTGTGCAACGCTGATAGTAGTAGTTGTAAAAGTAACGGTGGTCGCGGTGCCCGTGCCTATCGGCTGTGGCATTCCAGTGGGATCGCATCACTTGCGGCGCCAAAACGGCTATGTCTGCTTTTACTATCAGTGCTGCTTATGATTGTTGTTATTTCGCCTGTGACTGTCGGATTTTTAGGGGAGGTCGTGCAAGTTTCGAATGCTGTTCTTGCCGACGTAATCGCGACTGTAGTCAGTGTTATGCGAAGTTTGCAGAGCGTTGCTCTGTCCTATCGTGTCTTCAGCTATATATATATATATTTTTAGCATCTGTAGACCATTATATGGCGTACAGGTCTATACAGAACAACACTGTTACAGCCGTAGTCGATGACTGCTTTGCAAATGACAGTATGTTTCCAAATAAAAGAGGGCTCTTTTGCATGGTCACGTGCCATAGAAATGGTGAGGGACGGTTGCTGTTGTGTTAGATACTTCAATGTGTATGTTCGATCAATGCTGACGGCACGACACAGCCTGCCCGCCGAAATCTCTAAGAGATAGCTGACCGACCACCTTGTTTGAAGCCGTACTGAATAGAAAACAAGGTTTATTTTGCTATATGTGTATGTATATTTTTTATTACTCGAATCCTCTTTGTCATCGTTACTATTTCGCTGGATATTTGTGTCCGTCAGCGGAAAAAAGAGGTCGAAGAAAAAAATCAAAATAATGTGTACGATGATGGATCGGATCGTTGTCAGAACAGCAATGCAACTGGTCGAACTGAAGCTCAAAAGCTTGATGAGCTAATAACGATGATGACAATAGGTCAAAGATAGTCCAATTTTTACAGAATGTAGCTTTATCTTGAAAATTTCTAGCTAGTGCACGAATCGTGTTTTCGTTACTTGCATTGATAGAGAGATTGTTTAGTTGACATCTAAATTATCAATCAAATTCGAAGAATTGGCAGCTGATTTCAGCCAACAAACCCGAGAGCACTGTAGGTCCGGCCAGCCTCTGATGAACAAAAATTATCGGTTGCGTGATCGAGCTGAGCATTTATACAAATATTTTCCTTAAGCTGGCAAAGCGATCTGTTACCTGAGAGTTGACCCCAATAGAGCACATGAACTTCTTGTTGCCGAATAATTTTATATTCAACTTCTGTATGCGAATTATATGGATATCTGCTTCTATAAGGAAATAAAATTGAAAGCTAATACAGACAAAGGTATATATATATATATATATATATATAGAGAGAGAGAGAGAGAGAGAGAGAGAGAGAGAGAGAGGAGAGAGAGAGGTTTGAAGCAAAGATACTCTGATTCCAGCCCATTGGCTTCGCTGAATTTTCTATGTATGGGATTAGATTGATAAATACTGTTTACTTCTTCTCAAAACGGCAGTATTTTTAGGAATTTTTCTAGCTAGTTGCTAGTTTTCTGACGTTGTTTTGATTACTATCTTTACAACCACGTTCAATGTTAGTGGGTGTTGGTAGACATAACGATTTTTGCCGATTCTATTGTTGGGACTAAGTGGAATTTGCTCATTCGTGGCGTGACGCACGCTGTTAAGCCGAGAATACGTCTGCAATCTCAACACTGATTAACATTTTTCCAATGACTTTGTGTTCTCACAAAAGTATAGAGATGAAGAACTACGCAAGTTTTCCAACCCAATCGTATCGAAATAGTCAGCAACGTCAAGAGATTGCTTTATAAAACGTTTCAAAATACAACACAAGTGACATTACGGCAGACTATTGGCCACATCGAGCAGGTACGAAACGACTATCCATCAAACGCATTAAGAACTTAAAAAGTATAACTAGACTAGTTAGAAATGTCTTGCAAAGAAAATATGTGACAAGCAAGATATAACTGCAAATAGTACATTCTTTTAACGGTAGCGCAGATAGCATATCGCCATCAATCTAGAGGGTACCAAGGCTGCATGAGCTTTCATGGATATCAACTTTACAAAACGCTTAAGTATTCAAACGCGCGTGCGCATCTATCTATGCTTGAGTCGGCATTTCATGAAGTAGATCAGATGTAGTTCTTCACGAGGCGCTAGACATATGATTCAATCCCGGCACTGCGCTTGCCATCAGACGTGTCTCCGCGTGCGCATCCACATGAACACTAACATATTGTGCTTCAGCTATGATTATAGCCCTATTAAAAGAAGAAGCACGAACAGTTGTCGCAGCAGAATCAGCAGATCAAAAACCTGATTAGCGCGAAGACAGCTGCCGAAATTACAGTTGACCCAGAGCTGAGCTAAACTCACCTCGGTGACGCTTTAGTAAACCAACATTTTGCTGCCCAAAGGCCCAAAGAAAGCGAAGCGTCACTAATATTGCCCTTATCTGTTCGGACCTTCAAAACAGTTCAGCGCTTACGTCGGAACGTACGCTATATCCGCCTACGCTTCCCAACCTCCCCTTGCCTTTGTGTTTCATTACAATCCCATATGCTTTAGCTTTAGAATAGTTCTACTATAGCGGTGTATCATATGACCTCACGTAGCCATCGATATTATTACTTTGACGCGCACCGCCATGTGAATTAGTATAAGCACACACACGCAGATGTCTATCGTGCCTATCTATATATAGGCCTGCTTTACAGGTAGCAGTCGGACTCTATACTGTCTCAGGTTAGCCATTCTGGATAGGTGTGCCTGTCGAGTTCACTGGAATAATCATAGCGGTTCCACTTGCAGCAATACCTAGCCCGTAATTAAAACGGTCAATCGCTATTGGCTGTTTCAGCCTAAACACGGCCATAAAAGGTCGTTGTACTGGCGGCTCCGAGCCTCTGAACAGTTATGAGCTTCCGTCTGGTACAACTGCTAGACCATTTTGTAACTATATAGGGATCTATATCCTTGCCACAGCGGAGCCGTGATGTTCTAAGAATCCGTTATTTTAGCGGACTTAGTCGATAATAACGATGATGAGTTGGTTGATTCGTCTTCCAAACCGCTTCGTATCTAGCTCTCACTGCTAGGCCCGTTTCCTTCCTTGCCCGCTCATCATCATGACTATTTTAAGGAGAACCATCTCGGTCGGCATCGTATCGCTTGTCGACATAGCATCAGTGATGAAAACATGGCTGACGGTTGTGGGAACTAATTGGTTTGGTCGCAATTACTATCTATCCGAGGACGTCACCCACAAAATTAATGGCTTTTGATAGCATTTCACAGTAATTACAAGTAACTGACTCTCAGAGACATGCACATTATAGTAGACTGTAGGTGATAGTATCCTGCAGTTCTTATCCGTTCTGGCCTTGTTACCTGGTACTGTGGTAGGCGGTGAACGTCAATGGCACTACAAAGATCCTACCTATCCATAGCCGATTTCACTTTGATACATGAACCAGCTTGTTTCGCTAGTATGTGTAAAGTTTGCCAGATATCCCATCAAGTACGGCATTTGTGCTCTCTCAATTTCGAACGTTCGATCTAGTAATGGTGGCCAGATGCACTGAAAGCTTCCATATGCGTGCCGTCCTTTAATCTCATATAGAGTTAGACTTATATCGTCTAGTAGGTATGGGCCGACGTCGAAGACGGTGGTGTTGATGACGCTAGATAGAGCTTGGCTTGTAGCTAGCTATCCAAAACGTTTTCCCACTTCAATACTCATGAGCGACTGGTACGTGGTCAGTATAAAATGCTAGTAAAGGCGAAGGTAATCGACGCCAGCTAATAACAGTGAATGAATAGAGCGCCTTAGTAGTGCATTAGATTACTGATGGGACCTATAGACGGTCGTCTATGTAAGCGCCCATACGGAGTCGGCGAGTGTTTGTTTGTACGTATGTGCTAATGATGTCCTGTACTAAAAAAATAGATAGTGATTTCATATATTTTCACTTTTCCACTAATAGATGAATTAGTACTAAAGATAGCTGT